CCCTGGACTGTTATATTTGAAATAAATGTTTGTACATGCAGGATGCAATCTTAAGGATGAAAGTTTATTCTGATTCACTGCTGTGCTGGCTGCTAAAATCCCATGAAAATCTTTGTGCTTGTAATAATGATGAGGCTCCTACAAAATGGATACAAAATGGAAAGAGACTGAATGCACTGCTCTGAGTACTTTCACACATCTTAATATGGCATTACACTCCCCCTTCAAGGGCCCTATGATAATCCTGTTTGAACTCACCCACTCATTTCCAGATCAAGTCCACTACGGAGTTTGCTGACATTTAGCTCTGTCTAGCCCCAGGCAAGGAGCTGGGAGGTGTGCAGCTGTGGTGGAATCAAAAGGAGACGGAAAGGCTGTGTGAAACATTTCCCGTAGAAATCTTTGTGATTCCAAGATCTGTATTGTCAAACCTTAAGATATCAGAAATTAATCTGAAACATAAAAGTAAAAATGCTCTTTGTTCGCTATCAGCATGCACCACATCAAGCCTCTGTTTATTTGCATACACATATCCCGCATTTTTTACAGTATGCTTCATAGGTTTCCATGATGACAAGTCTGATGTGTAGCACACTGTTAGTTTGCCATCTAGTGGTATAGTAAAGAACAAGTTTTACGTTGTATTTCAATTAAAAAGTTCCTCACAGATGCCCAGAATGCAAACATGAGCTGATTTTGCTGCTGTTTGATTTTAGAACTCTAGTAGTAAAAAAAAAGTCCGTTACCATCTGCTCAATGATCATTAATTAACGTATATTCTTAGACTTTCCACTTGGTTCTCCACGAGCAGATACAGGTTCCTCAAGAGGACCACCTGTGTAGATCCAATGGCTGCTCTCTGTCTTAGATTTTATTGCTTTTAGTGTTACCCTGGGCTTTTGTTAAGGGTACAGATATGAGAGTAAAATGAATCTGTTCTTATGCAAATATCAGGGAATCTCAAAAAACAGAACTTGAATGGTACTTCAGCAGGCATTGTCTGTATGATAGTAGGCCTTCCATGAGAAGACTTGTCAAGATAGCATTAATGAAGCCTCAGAAGATCTTGACAGGTGTTTTTTCAGTCTGTTCTACAAAACTTTCTATTCTGGTGATTTCACAGACCTCTCTGGGCATCACAGTGCATCGATATCACTGCTACTGGAAAATGTTTCTTAATGTCTAAACTATCAGACTTTGAACCTGTAACTTCTTGTTCTGTCTGTCATGGACAGGGAGAACAACTTCTTCCATCTTTTCAGTAATCTTTACAATATCTAAAGACTGTTATTATGCCTCTTAGTCCTTTCTGCCCTAGATTAAATAAACTCAATTATCATAAGTTATTTTCTTTAAATCTTCAGTGTAGATTTTTTCTATCTTCTAGATTTTCACTAGTTTCTCCGCCACTTTCTTGAAATGAAGATTTTTTTAAAAGTAGCTGCATATACTTTAATTATAATTAAAAAAAAATAGCGTCACTACTTAGTCTAATGAGGTGGAACATTCCTTCATAGAATAAAAACTACCACTTTCCTTCCTTGCTAACACAGTCATAAGCATTCCTGTTTCAGGGATGAACAACCATTAGGAACGTTAAAATTTCTGCTGACTGTCCTCTGATCCTGCCTCTTGTATGTTATACTTGTAAGTACTTATATACAGGAACTCTACATAGTTCACCAGATTTTGGCCTTGTATGTGCAAATGGTTTGTCAATGTACAGACTTCAAAGATTGTTTGCATCTTCCATTCTAGTTTCACTGATGCCCTCTTCATGTATATTCTGGTCATTAGAGAGCAGGTATTTTGTTCAAAACAAAAGACTTCCAAAATCATTCGCGTGCAATAACGTAAAGACAAACAAATACATGTTTTCCATTGAAAGGGCTAAGAAAAGTTTCTAAGCCTTTTCTTCGGTGTTGCGAATATCTATTTTGCTTCACTTTCTGGGCTACTCAGATCTGCTTTTCCTATTCCTGAGGCGCTCAGGCAATTTGACCTAGCTGTGCTGAGAGCTGGGTGCTGCCCGATGCCCTGCAGAGCCCCCGAGCGGGCTGCCTGAGGCGGTGGCCGTTTTCCCCTTACTTCCCTGTGAAGCCTGAGAGCGGTACTAGGCCACTGCTGAAGGGCAGCTCATCACCTCCTAAGCGAGCGACTGTGGGAAAAGGGACCTAATGATGTCTGAAGTGTTCCCCAATTAGTTTAAAGAGGATTAAAATGTCAAGGGAGCCTGGCTGGGTTTTGGCATAAGCAGCAACCCATTACCTGCAGTTGCCAGAACTGAGAAGTAGTGAAAAGCAAGGTCAGGGCTTAGGCAACACTTGTATGTTATACCTGTTTTTTGTTTTACTCCACCATGAGAGAACAGCTGGAAATATGTTCCCCTCTTATAATAACCCCCATGCTCTTTCCTCCATTAAATATGATAGGTACATGGACTAGTGTTATGGATAGCCATCACTTGGGTATTGCTTATTTGTTGTTGTGAAGAGACAAGCTGCAGAAACATCAGCACAGAGTCCCAGCGCAGCCAGACAATCACGGTGTGAAGCCATGGTCATCGGTTAGTTTTAACTCCCTGTCGTTTCAATAGCTGTTTTGGCAGCATGCTCAGCCAAACAAGCCACAGTGGACTTCGGGCAATTTTGATCGGCCAGTCATTTCTAGTTTAAACAGAGAAAAAACAAATGAGCAGAAAGAAGAAAAGAACCTTGCTTTGAGAAAATTTGGCTTTGTGAAAAGACTCTGATGTAAAACACCACAGGGAAAGGAAAACTGGGGAGAGAGACTTGTTTTTATCTCTTTGTACTCAAAAGGGCAAACAATCATTTTCAGCTGATTCATAGCTTAATTTTCTCACCTGACTGCGCAGTAGTTGGAACAGGAAATTAACTTCACAAATTGTAGGACTGAGGCTGTGAATGGAGAGGGATGCTAAATGCATGTGATTTGTTATATGAAGCTACTTTTATTATCCCGTGCATTCACTAAGGAGTGAGATGGGAAGGAGAGAGGAGCTGGACAGCCACTTTAGGAAACAGGTACTGATAAGTGACAGGGGGAAATTTCAGTTCAGTGCAAATTCATTTCATATGGGCAGTTCATTTTTTCTGCATGTTTTATGCAAAATGGACTGCTCCTCTATTTTTAGGGTGTTTTTAAAAGGGATGATTACAGGGTAGTGAAGAAGGCTGGAACAGCAAGTGACAGTGCGAACAGCAGAACAAGGACCATTTCTGAGGAGTATGAGCCATGCAGAAGGACAAGAATTTATCAGAAATATTGCTGGCAGTTTAAGCTTGTTTGGAAGTAATATGAGAGAAATAAATACAATTTTGGATGAAGTGTACTGTATATTTAGCCTCAGAACTGACAACAATGGGTTGTAGATCTTGCCTTTAACAGAAGAGCAGCTGTGGTGTGCTTCACCTTGATCCTTTTCAGTACAAATCACTTCTTGGGCACTGGAAAGTTCCTGCAGGGAAAAAAGACAGGATGAATCCTCTGCAAAAAATACTATGACACTATACCGGGGGAAAAAAACCAAACAAATAAACAAACAAACAGTTACAGTGCTGGCAGGATTTCTTCCTGGAAGAAACAGAGGGGAAGCGATGGATGGAAAATAAAGTCTTTTCTTGAGGAACTGACATGGCACCATCAGAAATATCTTATAAGAGATGGTGCCAATAAGACAGTAAGCTGTGTTAAAATCTAAGGCAGATCCCTCAGGCAAGGTGATGGCAAAGCAAAGCTAGAAGAGCTGGTGAAAGCAAGAAGTAGCAGCAAATGATGCAACTGCTGTATGCGGTATAAACTTCTCTCCCAACAAAAGAGAGTCAATACATTTGCATCCTTGTATACTAACTACGGCGAAAGAGATACAGAATGACATTCAAGGAAGTCTTCAAGCTGCTCATTAAAATGAGAACAGGTCAACACTACATTCCTTTCTGTTCCCTTTGAAGAGGTGTAGGCCTGTATCATTTCCCACTGGAGAAGGGATATGGAAATGTGACCTTCCAATGATGATCTGAAAGGCAGTTCTCAAAAGCTCAATTTGGCAAGGTACTTAGCAAATACCTGACTTTAGGTATATGAGCAGACAGATCAATAAAATGGGGCTGGTCCCACCCTACCAAACTGAGAAAAAGTGGGAATAGTCCTTCTCCATGTATTTACTTGACTCTGCTTTTTTGAATTTGATAGCATTTCAAATACCTAGAGAAGAAAACTTGGAAGTTTTCTTAGAAATTCAATTAATTGTATTTACATTTGTGCATACTGTTCCTAACTGTGTACTACAGTGCTTTTAAAATGCTATGTTCCTTCTGAGATTTGCAAAGGATATGATTCTCATAGAGGATGGAGATTCAAAGGGAACAAGTGAAAGTCTAGCCTTTGTCCATTTAATTCAAGTTTTATTTCACATAATACGCTTGGAATACACTTCTGAGAAGTAGCATTGGATCACATGCTAGAAAGTAGTCATACAGAAATTAGAATAAAATAAAAATGTTTCTTTAGAGCCATATAATTTATATTCTTGCACTTTTAAGATTACTGTTTAGGGTGAAGTTTACTTAATTCTAAAAATATTCCCAGTATACAACTAAGCTGACCTATCAGCACTGGCACTTCAGAAACAATCATATAAAAGAACTACTAAATAAGTATATTCATTATTTTTAAGCACACGTTTTAATTAAATAGAAACACTAAATAGTCAAGATATACGTTTTTAAAACTATTTTTTTAAGAGGAGAAAGGCTTTGTAATGTTTGCAATTCAAATGCCTCTGTTAGTGTTTATCTGATATGTTGATTGGTTACTATTAAGAATTGCCTTTACCGTTGCTGCTTTGTATTATGTTACTCCATTTTGCCGCCAGCATTTTTCATTTGCTTCTGAAAGGTCCACCATGATGTATTGTGATTGATGGATCACGTATATTTGACAATTCAGATTGTTTGGTTAATGAATGAATTTTTATCTAGCCCTAGATAAAGAAGATGTCTCAGCCAGCTGTCCATGCCACCGAACCTCAAAAAGACCCGAAAACAAGACACTTGGTTCATATTTCAAAGGTATCTTGCCAATGTCTGCATTCAGTGCAACAAGTTGTTCCCAGAGGAAATTAAGGTAACAGCCATGGTGTGGTGAAGAGAGAACAGGAAAATCAGAACTGCTATAGCCCTGAGGGGAACAGATGCATAACAACAAGGAGAGCGAAAGATCACCTTTATGGTATTGAATACCAGTTGGCTGATCTGGTAATCGAATAAACTTGCATGTGCTGGGCTTCCTGGTATTACCTAGAGGTAGAAAAAAAATCCTGTTAACTACAACAACAAGAAAAGTTATCATCCTTTTTAGTTTTATCAGGATGCAGAGGCAAAAAATTAAATGGAAAATAAGGAAGAAAACTGCATAACCTTTGAAATCTCTATGGTACAAAATTTAGAGACGGGAAATATATTTAGCATGAAGTTTACATACAATGTATCTATAAGAACCAAAAGACTGTAAGAGAGAAGAATCCTTTTTATAATATAACTTAGTCAATCCTGAACTCTCTAATCTCAGTTAAAAACTACAGGAGAGCCATCAAATTGGGCAGAAAATTCTGTATGTCTTCTCAGTTATGCCTGTCCTTGTCTTCTCACATTCTGTTTCATCTCATGGCACAAGAATATGGTGTAGCTGTTGCAGAGGGTCTTTCTGAGCTGCTTGCATTACTCAGCAAACTGGCCGGAATTCAAATCAAATATTAGGAGTTTTGGTAAAGCGAGTCCCCTACTAGCTGCTTATGTGCTGACACCAATACTCTGCGTAAGTATTCTCTACATTTCTTTCCTCTTACAGAGGAAGAAAAGTAGGAGGACAGAAAACAAAGAATTTGCATGGGCTGGTACCTCCTTGAGATGTGTCTTTTAATCTTGTAGTGGCTCAGAGCTAAGCACTGTTATTGGCGGGAGAAAAAAGCTGTAATTAAACAGAGGGTCAGAGTCACCTAGATGAGGGGAGAGCTGCTGAAAGAGGATAAAAGCTACATCAGTTCTTTTATTTGAGGGGAGCCTTAGAAACCCTCCCCTCTTCTGTTAAACTTTCCCCATTATACTTAGCTGCTTTAGGTAGGTTGGAAATCTGAGCTACTCTTCCCAAGAGCACAGGTGGAGAAGCCACTTGAGTTACTTGTTCTTATTGCCTCAGTGAGGCCCATTTACCACTGTGTGAAAAACCCCAGGAGGACTCACCCAGGTTAAATTGCCGACCTTAGCTGAAAAGGACTTTTTGATTGGTTTAAGCCAAAACAAATCTGTCCTCCTCATTCAGCTATAGCTTAGGTTCTTACAAAGCTGATTATAAAATCTTCGGAGAGCTCAGATATTTCTGCAGCACTCTGCACAGAAGCTCACTTTGGAATTGCAGCTGCTGAGTCACAGAAATCAGAGGGAGCAGTAACCTGTTACATCATTTATTTCTTAGCCTTACATTGAATTAGTCCCAGGAGATATTGTTCCCACTCCTTCCAATGAGTGGTTGTTTTATAATCAACAGAGTTCGTTATCAGGAAGTTTCTTCTGATGTTCAGCCACGTTATTATATTGTGTTTTTTTTTCTGTCTTTTATGTAATCATATCATTCTGAGTGCCCTAAAATAGCCCTGTAATGCTGATAGGAGAGCTCTGAGCAAGGGAACAATGTTTTGAAAGCAAAAAGGGGTTTAGACAATCTTATTAATTGCAAGGAAGGAACTGGTGATTAAGGTCCTGATTTTGCCAAAGCTTAAGCACCTGTGAGAAAGCAACAGAACTACTCATGTGATGCAGCAGCTTTTTTGTATCTATGTCTTTAAAAGTGTCTGATTGCTGACAAAAAAAATACTGCTTGCTTTGTTGTACTTACACTTTAATTTGGGAATTGCATGGCTTAATGTTTTCCCAAAATATAAGTTCCAATATTGCACAGTCTCCATCTGTTCTGGAATAAGCAACATGGATTCTAATACCCTCCCATCTGTACTGATATTTTTAGCCACACATTCAGGTTTGTAATCTCTCTGCTCCAGTCCACATTCCTGGCATGAAACATAGTACTTGTTGTTTGTTGACCCAAAATTTTAAATTATATTTGTGCGTGCCTGTGTCTGTATACACGAACAGCGTTTTTGAGTTCTTTTCTTAGCTCTAGGGAAATGATTTGAAATTCAGGTGTCTGCAACAAGATATTTTCTCTCTCTCTTAAATCTTCAAAATTTCTATTCTTGATTTGTGAGCCATCTAGTTCCTAGATATCAGTCAGGAAAACACCGCAAGATGGAGAAATGAGAGGAAACACAAATATGAGTTTAAATGCCACTGGGCAAGGTATATTGGTAAGTATTTGTTAAACACAAAACCAAGTTATTTTCTTTTCACCTTATCATGCTCATGATTTATTTATGCAGGTTGGGAGAATAAGCCTAAGGCTTAGCGTGATGGACAGATGACCAAAGGAGGAAAAAAAATCGCAGATGAGATTCTGAGTTGTGTTTCTGTGGAAGTTAGGCAGAATAAGGCAATAGTAAACTAAATTAGGTGATCAGACATGGGGTGAAAGAAAATTAGGATTTTCATTGAGTAAAGAAAATGCAATCACAGCAGAAATGCAGCCTGCTTTCAGAGTTCTTAATTGTTTGCATAGCTCCACATTCATTCTGGTGAAACTCTTTCCATGCTTAGAGCAACTGCCTATGTGAGGCAGTAGTAAACAGATATTCCAACGGCTGATATATTAAGACAGCACTTGAGAAGAAACCCAAGGCAGATCCCTGTTCCAAGATTGTTTTAAGGCAGCAGGAACACCCTGGTACCCTGTATTCCAAAATTACAGAGTAAGTCCAATGTATCAGATATATTGTGCATGTGCAAACAATTCTGCATCGTGGATGCTATATAACCATTACTCAGGTGATAAGCCTGGGCTTCCCAGTTCCCTGGTCTAGGTGCATTTGCTGGCCTTACCTGACAGCATAGAGAGGAAACATGGATGCATGGACTTGGAGGTGATGTAGAGGTTCCCAGTCTGGATGACTAGAGGAGTGTAAAGCCTCCTATGGAGCACATTGGCCTTCAGCTTGGTTACAGCTACTGCCTTTGTCCAGGGCAATTGATCCAACGCAGTGGACACATACGAACCAGCGGCCTGGGATCTGTAGACCTGAGCTGTGAGATAGCCACACTCGACTCTGCAAAAGGCATTTTGGTGGTTTTGAACAAATCACTTGGTCTTTGTGCTTGAGCTTCCCGTCTTCTTATTTTAGAGAGGTGATGTGAAGATACACACTCAGGATTATCATGCACTTGTGCAAGGACCTTAGTCCTTGACTGTGTAGGGGTGATGATTCCCTGCTGATAGATACCAACAGAGCTGTCTCAGCCAGACAGAGCCATCCTGGCCCCAGCACTGGCTCCTGCCAGATGCCTTATAGGAAGGAGCATGAGACTGGGTAATAAAGAGTAACAGAAACAACTTCCCATTAAGGTAGCTGTTCTTTCCACATAAATTAGCAGCTGCTGTATGCCCTGAAACGCAAGTCCTTCCATCCCTTTATTTTTAACATTATATCACGTATATCTTGGGAAGTTCTCATTACCAGGATCATTAGCCAATTCTTTCTTTCCCTCTCATCTGCTAAGGCAGCTATGCTGCTTTGACAAAGTGTTCTATCACTAAATAATGCATCAAGTAAAAGTATTTCTCCTTGCCCATTTTAAATTGTAGCATTTTACTGGAGTTCCCTATTTTCTTCTACTATAAAAAAGGCCAAGCAGGTAAGTCTGGTTCACCTTCTGTCTGTCTCCTCCTTATTTTTCAATGCCTTTAATAGCTTACTTTAGGATGAAGAGTTATCTCAGTTGTTTCATTCTACCCTTCTGCAGAGGTTTTTCATGTCTTTGATTCTTTTTATGGTTCTTTGCCATATCGTATCTTCAAACAGTAACTTCTTTTTGAGGTGAGGTTGACAGATGTGCACCCAGTATTCCAGATATGCTAGTCTAATGAATGTAGAGAGGTACATGTATATATTTTCAGGGTTATTTTTCATTTACTTCCCTTAACATTCTTGTGTTTCAGTTGCAACTGCTCTTGGGACTAAAGTTTTCAGTAGAATGTTGCAGATATGCTGAAGCTCTGTAACTACCAGGAAACCACTTGCTGGAAAAATGGCCTAGTGAATCTCATAGAATGCAAATATATTTTAGAACACACAAGAATCCTTAAAAGTATCAGGCCACTGATTAACATGACCAGATCTTTTCTGTCTCACGATGGATATTACCAAACATTTTGAGCTAAGCCTTTCAAAGAAGAGAAAAGAAACAAAGTCAAAAAGAGAACTTCCATTGACTTCACTGGGCTTTGAAACAGAACTTCACACCCACAGAGTGGACATTGTGCAAAAATACACTAATTACCTAGTAATCATTCTGCTACCTCCCAAGCTTCCCTTTTTCTTTAATTTAGCACTTGAATAGTTTTGGCTTTAAATGCCATGATAAGCTTTGAGAAGCGCAAAATAAAAACCTAGCATTTGAAGATCTCCAATTAGAATAATTACCACAGCATCTTTTTGTGCAACTAAAAAACTAGGGACTCAGAAAAAATATGAAACAGTACAAAGATTACAAGCAAATGAAATAACTTTAGTTATAGCATACTCCAGATGAAGTACTTGAAACACTGTGACAATAACAATACACTGCTACTTGTGCTGACCACATACATTGTGATTTAATGGTCGACTTGAAAAGAGAATATCACAAGCAAGTTGAAAAGTCAATTAGCACAACATTTCCTAATATCCCACAGATTCATTTCTTCCCCTGTGAGTGTTAGAGAAATGGAAAATGTTGCACATTTAACCCACTCTCCACTAATTTAGTCCTTTCAGGCTCTTCATATTTTTTTCTTCCATCTTGGTCATTTAGAAATAACGTTCTATCAGAGCGCAAAGGAAAATGGGCATATACGTGGACTGCTATTTCAATATTACAACGCGTGGGAGGAAATTATTCAGAAAAAGCTACCATGGTTTAAATTC